ACGGCCGCGGGGCGGGACAGCCGCCGCGCCCCGCCGCTGAGCCGCCTGGCGTGACGCGAGGGGGAAGCCGCAAAGAAAAAGCGTTTCTTTCTTGAGGATAGATGCACACAGAGAAGGCCTGGGAGGGCGCGTAAGGAGAGGGAGCTTTGATTTTGCCTGGGTTTATGTTTTCTGATGGAAACGCAGGCTTTGTGAAAAGTTGTGGCCCGTGAAAAAGCGGGCAAATTGGCAAAAGTGACACCACGTAAATGTAGGAACACCGAATAACTCCAGTCTTCTCGGGGCCTGAAAACAAAACGTGTTGCTTCACAAAGCATGACTGTGACAATAGTTGCTCCAAGGCAAACAATCTCTTTCAGCCACTCTGTTGACGAAGGAATGTTAGGTGCGGGATTCCCTGGCAGATGAATGGTCAACACGGCCACATCCTGTGCTCTCTGGCATCATGAAGGTAAGTGTTGAGGCAAAAGCAGAAGGGGCAGAAAGGTGCTGGGCTCTGACTTTTGCAAATTTAACAATCCATCCAGGAATGCTGTTGATCAAAATGAGCCTCTCTATTCCTTGGACTTCTCTTAATCCATGCCAGAAGCTTCTGCACTCGTTCTTTGATTCATTGTATCCTCCAAAGGCTTTTGTCTTTAATTCACATCATCTTTATATGTTTGGACTTGAGCTTCATCAGGCTGGTTTTCATCTCTCTTTTTCAGTATGTTCTCAATATTAGACGTGTCAGAGGGAAGTTGTAACTCCCAGACTGAAAGAAAAGGTAAAGTAGCACTGATACTAATGGATGGCACAGCAGTCCATATACTGCATCGTGATCATTCCCACAGCCTCTGTACCAGATGTTGGATAGAAGAGGTGATCGGCACCGAGTGCTGTTGCATATTGCATCTGGGAACCCTTAACAGAAGGAAAAACCATCTGCTACCATCTGGGAACACTTCGTTAGGAATCAGTGCAACCACGCTAAGGCATTTCTTGTTCCGAGCCAGGTCATGCAGCTGTGTCAGGGATTTCACATGCTCCACAGTGTCAAAGGCCACCAAAGTTGTGAGTCATCTGTAAATTGCCAGGCATCTGGCCATGGTCACTGGCCGAGATTTTTATCATTACACTTAGCCTAAGTGAGGAGCAGTGGTGTAGGAGAAGTGATCTCAGTGAGGCAGTTGCTAGCCAAGTGAGTACGGTCTGGAGGAGATTTCTTTAGCAGACATCAGAGTAAAGTGTGTTTTGTTGGTGTGTGTCCCCCGCAAGAGCTGTTGGCAGCTTCCTCTCAGGAAGAAGCAGTGATTCATTCTTCCAGGAGCAGACTTACGCAGTCCCTGCAGTTTTTTTCCTGGCCAAATTGGAATAGTCTAGATTCTAGATTAGTAATTCATATTACAGTAGTTGCTCTGAAGTCCCTATGTGCAAGGTACTTTAAAGGGGCAAAGAAAGAGACAATCTAATTTGAAGATGTGAGCTGAACAAGAGATAAATTAAACAACCTTCTCAGTGTCAGTAGGAGGTTCTGGAAAATATGTGAGCTGAATGAGTATCTCCCAAGCACTGCAGTAGCATAATGACTATACATATTACTTTATAGCCATTGACAGATTATACAAAGCAAGTATAGTGTGACTTCTGTCAAGAATTTACTGACTGATTTTATGTTCAATTTAATATATTGTCATACACTAAACTGATACATAATCTCTTTCAATGTCAGACTTAGTTTATAGTCTTCTAAAATCTCTGTTTTCAAACAGTAAGATTGGCTTTGTGATCCTCTAATGCTTTGTGCTTGTAATTTAAAAATAATTCCTATCACCAATGCTTCTCTTCTATTTAGACACTTCCAACAGTTACGTAGTAAATGCATGTAAAGCAGTGCATTGAAAATAGGCCCTATAACTGAATTGTCTGTTAAATGTTTTGATTCAGATATTTATTTTTCTGCACATACAGCTTTGGCTACCAAGTAAAATTAGTGTGATTATTATCATTAGATAAACACATGCTGGGGGTGCTAAAAACTTTAAGCCTTTGGCTTCAAGTAGAGGTCTCCCTTCCACCAAGTGCATCAAGCACATCATACTTGTATGACACTTCCAGCCTAACAGATCAGAGAAAAGCATGTGGATCTTATATGTCCAGCCAGTTATAAAATCTTTGTTTTCACCTCTTCTCTCCCTGACTAAAGAAGCTATCATCGATAAGTGCATGTGCTTTGATGGAAGACATAATAAGCAAATTTATTCATAATCATTCTAGCCTGTCAGATAGACTTCACGAAAGAATAAACTGTAAAATAATAATTTAGAATTGTTGCTGATTGTGTAAAATGATCAAATATGTACACATTCAGACTAGGATTTTTTGCCTTTTGCTTAATTTTCTTGCTCCTTTTTTCACCTCTAATTCTGTATTTGACACTATAAAGAAAATGGAAGCTTAAATATGTTAATTCCACCACAAGGCAAGGGCTTTGGCTCAGCACAGAACTGCTTTGTCTAAGGATATCAAAAGCCATTTTGTTCTGTATAAAAGTAATCATACGTTTGTGGGGTTTTCACTGGACTGAATTGTAGCTTCAGAATATGGTCCAGTGGAGTACTGATGAGATCCATCTGACAAGTGACTGAAACACATACCTCACCAGCTTTTCAGAACAGCTGTCAAGAAGCTTCCAATATGCAATTTTTTGATAACAGTCTTGGTACGGATGCTTTCACTGCTTGCTGTGAAATAGAGCAGCCACTCAGCCTTTCCTGTGCCATGTGACACACAGGGTGCATCATGTGCTATTCCCATGTGACCTAGCACATCAAGCATGTCACCTTCATGAGAGAGACACGAGACAGAAGAGAGATTAATAAATCTGTTTTCTCATCATCAGGCTTATTGTTTCCCATCTGCACCAAGTCTTTTTCTGCATAAAGCTGTCCCAGATTAAACTCATACTGAGCAGATTCCTCTAAGTTGAATTAAAATGCAATGCTAAACAATGAAAGAACTGTATGTTCTTGTCTCAGGATGTTTTAAAAAGAAAATTGTCTACACAGAGATGACATAATATGACTGAAATTGAAATAAAAGTTACGCATTTTACTCATCACTAACTTTCAGATTACAGCTGATCCCTAAAGAAATGGTTTAGCTAAGAACCAAGCAAAAATAAACAGACTTTTTAGCTATATATTTTAGCTCTGCTTAGAACATGTTTTAGAGGTAAATAACCAGAGTAGCATTTAGGACCTCAGGACTTGAGGATGCATGGCAGAGAGAGCCTCTGACTCCTGGTAACAGTGCAAGCCATGGCTTGCAAGGAGAGGCCCAAAGTGTGAGCTAGCTGCTGGTAGCTGTTGTCACAGTGCTGATGTGGAATGTTGGTTTTGTTGCTATATCCCTGCCCTGACTTTTGATACAAATGTATGCCCTGTATATTACTGCAATTTTGTGTAAGTATGTAATGCTGTCTATCACAGTTATCACCAAAAGGTATTACAGTATCGATTATGATGCCTGCATTCTTTATTATGTAGAAAGCCTTTTTGGTCTGCATCTAATGTGGGTAGGATGGAGTCCAAGGTAAACTACGTCAGCATGGATTTAAAGTCAAGAGCGCAACCAGCAAATAGTAAGTCCCACGACAGATTCTGCCATTGAAAATCTGGCACATGAGGATTTCCAGCTAGGCTTTGGACAGAGTCCTGAGCAGGAGGCTTAGAAATAGTCAACCAATGCTAACAACTCTGCTGCAGAGAGGAACCAAACCAGGTTCTAAACAAGTGTTTGAACATTCACAG